GGGGGGGAGGGGGAGGGGGCCAGAGGTCTGCCCCGACAGTACAATCGCAGAAGTCGCGCGCCCCTCAGCAGGGGGGGGAGGGAGAGATGGACAGAGATCTGCCCCGACAGTACAATCGCAGAAGTCGCGCGCCCCTCAGCAGGGGGGAGGGAGAGATGGACAGAGGTCTGCCCCGACTTCAAATTTCGTGCATTCTGTTTGACTCAAACGATACCAAGCGCATGCGCACGAGATCAGACAGCATGAAGAAGGCATACTCGTAGCACTACATGTAGTCGGTATGACAGATTTCCTAACCTGAATAGTCGTCAACTTTAACGCTTAATATCTCGGTTCGTAGGGCAGAGCGACACTTTTTTCTGCCAGATTCTTTCGTTTCGTGCAAAAACGCGTCGAATGAGCCTAGTTTCATTAAAATCAGTCTTGACAAAGACTATCTCAAGACAGATCTTAAGCAACGTCTATGGATTCCGCCCGTAGAACAGAACCAAACACAGTTCGCGAATAATTAACGTGCTTTCTAGCATCCATGGTGAATAAAGGCCGCAGCACACACTTTTGCATAACACATAAACCATATACATAAAGAAATTGATTGGTCCATTGACTCATGCATAAGAAAATGGGCCAATAAAATTCCTTATGCACATGTTTTATGCGTTATGCAAAAGTGTGTGCTGCGGTCTTAATCCACCGTGCACGCGTATGGAGCATGCGCATTACAATCTACGATCTTCATTTCTCCACCTTGTACATAATCTATGATTTTCATCTCTCCATCCTTGTCAATCTTCTCGGCTTCAACCGAATGTATGTACGGGATTAAGCGGGGAGCACAGACTTTTGCATAACGCATAAACCATATACATAAAGAATTTGATTGGTCCATTGATTCATGCATAAGAAAATGGGCCAATGAAATTCCTTATGCACATGCTTTATGCGTTATGCAAAAGTGTGTGTTGGAGCTCTTATACGCCTATGCTCCTTCTAGTACTATATATGTTCTAAGGGTTAAATCTATTTGTTATAATCATGGATTATTAAAATCATAGATATATATGATCGATGCCAAAAAATAGACGTGGAAGGGAAACATAGAAGGGATCTTACTAATGAGAAGCATAACCAAGTGCAGCGCTAAGCGCACATGTTGCACCTTTATCACTCCTCGAGATCAATTGTGTATTTCGAAATGACGTGAAAATTACAAAATTATGCAAAAGTGAGCAAATTTACTAGGATATTTATAATATCATTAGTCAACAACTAATAAATTCGTTCAATTTTGTAATTTTGACTTTGTTTCAAGAAACACAATTGCACGCAACGTAATCGAACTCAGAGTACCAATCGGAACCCCGTATTATAAGTAACAATGAATAGGACTTTTAATTTATTAGGAGGGAGGCACCCTGTCTCATTTTGACCCCTCGAAATTCTAATGACTGAAGGTGCTCGTATTTTTATTCTTCATCGATTTTGAGGTCAAAAACATACCAGATTGTTATAAAAAAAAAATTCGAATTTTTTTACTGAAAAAAAAATTTTATTTTTTCAATCGTAAAAGATATTGTCAAATGCATACGAGAGATTATTCGAAATGTTGAGATCATATAAAAAAATTACCATGAGAAAATATTGAGAATTGTAAGAGAAGATAGATTTTTAAGATTGAACTTAAGGAATTTCAATCGACTGAAGTCACAAATTAATTGAAAAACATTATTTTTTTGGCTTAGAAATATATTTTTTCAGTACATAAGAACGTTTATGACAATTCTGAAGAACAGCCCTTAAATGGGAACAGACATATATGTATAAATATACATATACAGCCATCTATGCATATAAAATTATATACGTATGTGTAATGATAAAGTAAAAATTAAGTATTTCAGAACAGCCCCGCTCTATACATAGTTCCTTCGTTTTCAACATAATTCTCCTCCCTTCTGTTCGTTGCGCGTGCTATATAATGCATCTAGCTTTTCTGAATTTTTCGGTTGATTTTTCTATGCCTCTTGCTAGTCTCCGAGAGTCCGTATTTTTTGTTAGAGTTTCCGTGCCAGTAGATAGCCCTAATTGCGTCAGAATGTCAGATACTGTTCTTGTGGTCCCAAGGTTATATATTCGCATATAGCCAAAGAAGTTAAAATTTTTGCACGAGATTTGCCAACAAACACTTCTTTTGGACATCTACTCCAAATAATGCTATGAAGTTATTTAAAACTGGTGGATGGTTTACGTCCGAATCAGGTGATCCACAAAGAAACAATATATTGTGATAATCATGATACTTAAAAATAAATAATTTAATAAAATAATTACTAATTAAATATGAAAGATACTTATATATAATTTTGAATAAATGGTATTGATCGACAGGAGGAGCATGAGATTGATATGGATTTTGAACCGATGACGGCTACACCAATACGCGCGCATAAACGGTTGCAGTTTAATATGTTCATACAACCTATACCAAAGTTCAAATTAATGAAGAATTTTCCGGAGGCACTGCTGCCTCTGTTCTGGGTAGAGGAAGGAATAACTCTCGACGACGAGTTCGTCAATAAAGTGAAGATGGTGTTTAAAGTGTTGGCGGTTGTCGGGTGAGTGTTGCGATATTTGCTAAGTTTTTTAAATAATTATATTTGATAAAAAATATACGTATACATACACATATAATATCTATATTAAGAGAAACATTTTCGATATATTTTTAATTATACTTTGAATAATATATATTTTAGAAGACGCGCAGTAGAGTCAAATAATTATCCTTGTGACATCCGATGCTTTTACTGGAAAATGTAATTTATTACGAACTTTTTTAAAACAGGAAATTGCAGTCAATAATTATCCATTATATAATCAAATAGAACAAATCATGTTTCTAAATAGTTCTCAACTAAAACGCTGTTACATTGTATTTTATCGAACGTTTATCCGATAACATCGGATATTCTCTCTCTCTCTCTCTCTCTCTCTCTCTCTCTCTCTCTCT